GTTATCTCCCAGCCAGATTACATTAATTAACTAGTTTAGTAACGACTCTATGACATTTATTCGAGGATATCAACATTTTCAGTTGTTACAAATTGCATTGAAAAATAACACTTAAACATTACTAATTCTATATTACAATTCTCAAACACCAACAGATCATTCGGCACCTATTTCTATATATATACTGTGATAAATGGTTTTACATATACAAATAAATAATGTGTCCCTATAAACATTTATTTGATTTGCTAGCACTATATAATATTTATTTAACTATCAAATAAAAATTGTTCATGTTATCTATAATAAATTATATTATTTTTAACAACAGCACAATGGTTCGTCATCTAATATTTCTTGTAAACTTATCACATATAAGCTACATACGATATCCGCAGAATTTCACGTACTAAATTATGGGGCGTGCAATGAACGCAAGCTCCCTGTTAACAGCTATAAGAGAATGAAGTTTGTTGCCCAGCAGATAAGAGTAAAAATCGAATAACAACGTCACTATTCAAAAAGTACACAACAGTAAACGAAATTACCCTGTTTAGAAGACATTGTATATTTTAAAAATTTTGTCCTCAGCCTTTTTCAATGATATCATATGTTTCCATTTTTTTTTACATTTTGACGTGTAAAGTTAAACCACGAGCATAATTAGAAATTATTTCAATTATTTTATTATTTTGTTCTTTACTGTCGCCTTCTTGCCTCTTTTTTATCTATGGATTTTATTAAGTTCGTTTTTTTTAAAACTTTATTTCTATATCAGTAGTAAATGCTATAGGGTATCTTTACTCGCCAAAACGTAACACTAATTTGCTAAGGGTTCTATGAGATACAGGGTTTCGGACGAAATTACAGGGAAATTATAAAATCTACATACCACCGGAAGTTTATGTTGGGAACTTGTGATGACTCTATTAAAATCTTAAGACTAACAATGGTAATGTACAATACGATTAATTAAAATATATCAAGTCGATTCAGACAGTCTAATCATAATACATAGCTTTTATAACAACGAAATAAAATATTTATAAACTATAATAAATCTTAAATTAAATAAAGCTGTATTTCATATTAATTAAAGAATTCGAGAACAGAATACAAATGCAAGTAAAGATCGAAGTGTCAAGGAATCATTAAGAAGTACCTAATCTCATTGTAATTTAAAACCGCTTACAATTACATTTCTTTAAGTATTTTCTAATCTTAGATTAATCAAAAATTCAAATTGATTCAATTGCAGTTTATTTTATTCCTGTCAATTCTAAAATATTCTTTTGTATACGTTTTTCTGGCCAAACTTGTAAATTGCCAGAATAAGAGGCGTTGGTTTTTTGAGTGTGAGCACATGGATACTTTCAAATTGAATAAAAACAAAGACAAAACGAATATTATTTTTTTTTGTATATCACTAGTTTGTTAACACATTTCTTTTGTACATATTACATGCGAATTTTAAACGTTCATTAGGTGGCGTTTTATTTGTACCTTCAGCATGCCTTTTAGAGTGAATAACATGTTCACGTCCTCTCGTGTCATAACAGATAATAATCAGCAGCTTAACGGTGTTCTGCTTTGTACAGTGAGTATAGAGAACCGGAGACCTCTTTTTAATTGAAACAAGGTCCTCAGAGGTTACAATTCATCAGAATTTTAGAGGATAGAGATGTAGATTTCTATAGACCACAGCATCCACTTACCATCAGGTGGACTGTGTGTTACTTTGTCACTCCTATTCTAAAAAAAATAGCATGAACTGCGTCAAGAGACAATACCAAAGTTTTGTGAGTCTTGGGTCACTACCTACTAGACCACGCAGTATCTATCACCACTCAGATGTTTGATCTTGGCATACTAAAATGGTATAACAACAATATTGAGTAATTTTAACCAACTTTGATATCCTATAACGCCCAGATTACAATATACAGAATATAAACGGGAACATCTATTCGAGCCGTCCATTTAGTAATGGCGATTGATAATTCTTTACTGGACTATCCTGTCAGTAACTTATTCTAGAAATTCGAAATCGTTGACAAAATACGACTATACACGATACGAAAAGTATACACGTGCAAACACTCTTAACCTACCATTTGATCAAAATTTTCATATTATCAATATCATTTAATTAATTAATCTTAAAGATACTAGGACACGGCACAGCCTGTCATTAACTATCAGAATACTCTAGAAATGTGGCGCCTCAGTGCGATTCCGTCGGTATTTCTCCGTGCAGCCAGTTTATAGCGTTTACTCTAATTTTGTATTCCAAAATCTAAGTGAAACTTAACTTTGTAAAGTGTTTTTTGGCGTATTTTGCGGCTTCGATGAGCTTTTTTATTCTTTTACTGAAGGGTTGGTTGCTGCAACTTTTGAATTGGCTTCAAAATTTAACCGGTTACAGCGAAAAGACTTCGAAAGTAGCTTTTCACATGGCTCTATCCTTTCATAACATTTTAATTTCCTATTTCAAAGTTTAAAATATCTTTTAATTTATGATTGACAATTTCTTTTTTTTCTAAAGTATTTGACGTCGAATTTTTTGTCATTTGTAGACATAGGTAGGCTTTTTTCTTTCTAACAATTAAACAAAAAGGCAAATGAACAGTCTACCCACTGTACTGACTAAATAGATCAATTCATTTAGATGTGACCAATTACTTGTAAAACTATAATATTTTTGAAAATAGAGTATCTTAGCGTTTTTTGAGATGTTATTGAAATATCGTCTTTATTCCAATCACATAGAGTTGAAAATAGTATACAACAGGATAACTTGTTTTACCGTAAAAGTAGCATAACAGTTATTAACTTTATTAGAATTGAATAAGGGCGATGTTCCATACACATCTAGAACTTGTATATGTGGTAGAACAAACACAACAGTAATTAATGTACACTTGGAGCGAGTGGACCTAGTAGCTGACGAAAGTCGGACAATTTTAGGTTGAACGCTGAACAATTTTGGCGCGGCTCGTTTATACGCATATCCACGATTGTGCACTTCACCCTCGTGGACCTCGTGGACCATGATTATTTAAATCACTGACAACTGAATAAAAATTAACCAATAGAGTAGTGAGATTAGTGTCGGCAACCCCGGGCTTCACGGCAGTCGAGTCGACGCGCATACCCAAGAATGTTTGACGCGTGTAAATGCACTCATAGAATGTTACGCTTGCTATAGCATTTTAGGGACTAATTTCTTGACAGGGAGACGATGGTTTTCATCTTATAATTATACTCAGTTTTATTACGATGGATCATTATGCAGTTGGAAAATGGACTTTAATAGGTACTCTATACGAGATAGACAAGACTATGGGCAAACAATTAGTTAACGTTGGCAACACTGATAACGTGTTGCCCTGTTACGACTAGGGCTAGAACAACATATCATCTGCATTCCAAAAATTATAAAATCAGTTCCTGTTTTTTAATATGCCGTAAAATTAACTTATATAGACTGATCTGAAAATACTATGTTTGTCTGAAAAGCTGGCAACTCTTATTCCGATGTGTGAAAACACGGAGAAGAGACTAATTAAATGAAATATAGTTGAAACGTTTACTTAAATTAACTTAAAATATAACGATTTATAAGTGTGCGTAATTATAAAATTAAAATATTTTTATTCAATAAGTAACAAATCATTGCAGCTTTTATGAATCTTCAACTTTTACTATATTTGGGAATAGTGATGTACGTACGTCATCATTGTCGATAATCAATATAATACAAAATATTTTAAGATATTAATGTACTCGTATATAACTAAGGAAACTATATTTACATCAATAAAATACTTTTCACTGTTAAAGTCCTGAATTACTTTAAATAATTAAAACATATTTTACTATAACGAAATAAAACAGAATAATATCTTTAGAATTTCGAAATAAATAACAAATATTTCAGTGTAAAGCGTTAAATTTGTTTTTGAGTTATAAGATAATAAATAAGATTCGGTGGTACAAATACAATAGAGTATTAAAAGCCTCGTCAGCAAAAGACTACAATGTCTACACTGTGGTTTGATCCCAAAATCAAATTCGCACTAGAACGCTAAAGTAAATAAATAAATTCTGGCCAATTACGATTTAATTCCCCTTTTAAAATGATTAAATGAAAAATGACGTGTAATAAAAATTGTACATTGACTATGGACAGTTTCAATTCGGTACCTTATCGATAACCTTTCCAGCGTCACAAACATCACTATAATTTTTCCATTAAATTGTATGTAGTAGATTATTACATATTAGTGAGGGGAACAATATATTTTTTTTTACTTTAAATGTTAACTACAGTGTCCAACTAGTGTGAACGAGTTCTGGAATATAGACAAAAGTAATTTGCATGAGTCAATACTTTATGCAATACAGTTTTATTAGTTCTAATTTCTAACACGAAATCAGTTTTTCATATTTAACAGTTTATATATTGTAAATTACGTTTACAAATTTTACTGTTTAAAAAATAACGCGAATCTGGTATAACACAAAATTATCCCAGAATACAAAGCTAAAACATCCAACGCTTACAGTTTTTGGAGGTGAACTGTAAAAGCGACGTCCAAGGCGACGTCGAATCCACGAAACGCCGACTACCCTCACCATTTTACCCACACCATATCAATCGCTCGTTGAATTCAAAAAAACTCGTGCACCTTACGAAATACCGAGAGCAGCGTTCATTTCTTCGCCTTTAGTGTGACGTAGGCTGGCTCAGGCGGGGGCTGCGCGCCGGCCTGCGGATTTGGGGGATAGTGGGGGAACGGAGGGTTCGGGTACTGAGGGTTCGGCTGGTACGGTAGATTCTGGGGGTTTTGGGGATTCGGTGGGTGTTGGGGGTTTGGGGGCGGTTGGGGGTGGGGGAGCGCGGGCGCGGGCAGCGGCGCGCGCAGCAGCAGCGGCAGCGCGCGCCGCTCCTTGCTGACGGCCGCGTACAGCGGCGGCGGCTGCACCGCCCCCGCGTCTCATGTCTGCAGCGCCGTGTTGATCTCGCGGTGGATCGTCGTCTGAGGGAAACCAGTGCAATTGTAATGCCTCGTCGTCACCCACAGATTCATATTTGAGCGTTATTTATTTATTTTTTCATTTATTCATTAATCTCGCGCTAAAGCCACGCTGCAGCTATATTAGTTGTATAGTTGTAACACGAATGGGTCGGCTCGACCGGACCACGCTCCAATCGCAAAATGTCTGGGTAAAATAGCAGCTTAATTCTGCTGTTTTCTATTCTATAGAACCATTTTACTGGAAATGAGGTATTCCATTTTAGTCTTCAGGGGTAACAACGCTTCTGCATTTTGATTTATAATAGAGGATAGATATAAATGTCTATGGACCGCAGTAACCACTTACCATCAGGTGGACTGTGTGCTCGTTTGTCATCCTCATTCTATATAAAAAAAATAAGTTTGTATATTAAGCAACCTGTACATTTAAAATCACAAATTTACAGCTCATTCAATCAATCTGTCAGTAATTAATTTTGGCAATATTTTAAAATTCTTTGGCTATAATCTACTCCGTTTTAAAACATATTTCTCTTTGCTCTATACGAATGTATGACCACAGACTTCATACGTAGATGAAAGTCTATGATTTGATATTTTCACTATGAACATAACGTCAAATTAATAGCTTTTTTATTTTTTTTATTTTATTTAATTATAACTCATATTATATACAAATTTTTGCTTTCTGCACTTCTTCACCATATAAACTTTAACTATGCGAATTCTCACACTTCTTTGTGCGCTCAATATGCTTAAACAGAGAAAATTTTCGCTTCACATATTAAATTTCAATAATAGTTACGCATATACATATATATATCACAAGGTTTTAGTGATATTAAATAGTAGTTATTCCTAGTTGTCATTGCATAGAGTAAATTGAACTCTATGCAATGACAACTAGGTCTAAATTTTTTTTATAGGATCGGGTGACAAACGAGCACACAGTCCACCTGATGGTAAGTGGTTACTGTGACCCATAGACATCTACATCTATCCTCAATAAAGACTCAAGATGCAGATGCGTTGTCACCCGTGAGGACTAAGATGGAATGCCTCTTTGCCAGTAAAAAGGGTCTCCGGTTCTCAACACAGCAGCGTTAAGCTGCTATTTTACGCTGGTTTTCTGTGAGAGCGTGGTCCTTCCCCCGTTCGAACCGACCCATTCGTGCTACAACCATAATATAGCTGCAGCATGGCTCTACCACTTAGAAAATGTAAATATATATATAATATGCAAATAAAACTAGCTGACTCACCAGCTCTTCCAGTTGCCTCGCCAGTTGGTCGTTTAGCGCCTGTATCACTTGCCTCTGTCCATCCTGAGCGGCTAGAGCAAGCTCGAGTTGGCTCTGAGCTAATTTCGCCTCTGCGTCCTAAAGAATACAGTCGACGTTGAAATGGTACCGTATTTAAAAGTATAGCGTAAACTCAATTTTCGTGGGCCAAAATTAATAATTTAAAGCTGAAAGTAGCCCAGGGTAAATATGACATTAGAACGTCTAAAATGTCTAAAATCTCAGTGGCTCTCTCCACAAACATTGGGCATGGAGGGAGCCACTGAGATTTTAGACAAGCTGCTAAACTTCCAGCAATACTTTAGACATGAACTAAAAATGTCTTAAAATTAACACGATAGTGAAAACCACGGCGTACCGGCGGCCTAAGAGAATCCACTACCCCATATTATCCCGTGGATATCGTAAGAGATGACAGAGGGAAATAAAAAAGGAGGTGGACAGCAGCATTTACCTGATAAGGATTTAAAATAACCTGCGGTTGGCAACCGCTTGCTGGAAACGAGGCATTCCATCTTAGTCCTCACGGGTGACAACGCATCTGCATTTTGACTCTTAATCGAAGATAGACATAGATGTCTATGGGCCACAGCGACCACTTACCATCAGGTGGACTGTGTGCTCGTTTGTCACCCTTATCCTATAAAAAAAACCTACCTGACAAGCCAGTCAAATATTTTTACTTACAATTGACCTTTATAAAGCACTTTTTGAAAGTTATAAAGTTACGGCATCGCTTTAACAAGTCACTGTTGTGGGAAATCTTGTGAAAAGAAGCGGCAAGTAACTCACCAGTAGACTATATTGCTCCAAACAAATTTAAATTAATAAATGATCATCTAAATTAAGTGTGTCAACTATAGCAATCTATGGAATTAGTCAGTGTTTACCGAGTGGAAAACGTTATCGCTTTTTGTATGAAAATTAACAGCTTCACAATCCTCTTAATCAAGGTAAAACGTAGATGTCTATAAGCCACTATACAGGATTAATTTGCAATAAACGGCCAAATTTGCTGATGAGGAAAAAGTAATATAGGCAAACAAACATTCTGCCGATTTTATCTTTTAAATTCAAAATGCGTGGTAATGCATTATTCTAACTAATTTTACTGCGCACGCACACATTCGTAAGGGTCGATCGGTAGGCAAAAACGTTGTTGCCCATAAATCACATTCAATTTGGGATAATTTCAAATAAAAGTAGAAGTCTTATTTACTCGTTATTTCAAAAACTGCAATAACAGTATATCATTACTTAAGTTTAAAATTTTGCTACTCTTTGAAAAATAACCCTATATACACTTACCATCAGGTGGACTGTGTGCTCGTTTGTCACTCTTATTGTATAAAAAATGAGCCAAGAATGCGATTAAGAGAAACAATTTCTTCAATGGAATACAAGTAACCTACCTGCTCACTCTTCTTCGATTTCGTAATCTGAGCCAACTCCTCGTTCTTCTGCGCTAGCTCGGCTTCCAGTTGGGCAACGCGTTGCCTGAGTTGTTCTACTTCATTCGCTTCACCGCCTGGAATTAAACAGGAAGTTATTATATATATATATATATATATATATATATCGCTATATATAATGTAAAATAACCGAGAGATTAGGTTTTATTACCAAATTTTTAAACATTGTATACACTATAATATAAGCTGTTGTATACGAGGGCGGGATGATAAGTAACTATCCATGGCAGGCATGAAGGGGAAAGATATCCATGACGAGTTAAAGAATGTACCATGTTACCCAAAGTAAATGTGCTCCTTCTTATGCCACAGTAAAAAACTGGGTGGCTCAGTTTAAACGTGGTCGTACACGTGTCCAGGATGAAGCTCGCCCCGACGTCCAAAAAGCATCACGACTCCAGAAATGGTCGTGAAAGTACATGATATGGTTTTAGCAGATCGACGATTGAAGTTATCTGAAATAGCTGATGCTACAGGTATTTAAAAAGAACGGGTTCATCATATCCTAAGCGAGGAATTAAATATGAAAAAATTATCAGCCCGTTGGATGCCGCGATTGTTTACGCACGATCAAAAAGGATTTGGGTACAAAACACTAAACAATATCTGGACCGTTTTCAGAGAAATAAGGCCGATTTTACGTTGTTACAAACAACAGATGAAACATGGGTTCATCATTACATGCCAGAATCAAAAATTTAATCAAAACAGTGGACTCAATCGGGATGCCCGGCTCCAAATAAAGCCATGGCTGTAAAGTCGGCTGGAAAAGTGATGGCTTCCGTCTTTTGGGATGCAGATGGGATCTTGATGATAGATTACCTTCCTAAAATTAATGGAGAATACTACGCTAATATTCTAGATAAGCTTCGTCAATGTATTCAGCAAAAACGACCAGGTTTGGCGAAAAAAAAATCATCTTCCACCAAGACAACGCTAGGGTTCACACATGTGTTAAAGCTATGGCAAAAATCAACGAATTGAAGTATGATTTGCTGCCTCACCCACCTAATTCGCCTGTAATGATCTAGCGCCATCAGACTTCCACTTATTCCCTAAGCTCAAAACTTTTTTGAGCGGACAGAAATTTGCCACAAATGATGAAGTCATAGCCGCTGTAGAGGAGTATTTTGCAGGCCTCAAAAGAAATCATTTTATGGAAGGCATTACTGCTTTAGAACGAAGATGGAATAAGTGCGTAGAGATTCACGGAGACTATGTCGAAATATAAAATTAATTTTATCACGGAAAGGTAAGTGTTTTCTTATTAGGCTAGTTACTTATCATCCCGCCCTCGTACATCGTTATCGTTATCATACATAGTTCGTCTAGTGGTCGCAAGTACGACTGTTGGTATGAGGTCATGGGTTTGAATCCCGAGTCGGACCAAAAAATTACTTAGGTAAGTAGGTATAGCACTCTTCTAGTTGAAAAATTCTCAGTTGCAGCTTAGAGTCAGAAAATTTGTGGTTTTATTCACCCGAGTCTTTAAAAGCACGATAAGTTGGTCGTACGCCTGATCTCACTCCGGTCGTAAAGGATTATCATCCCATCGAACTACGAGAGTGAGAGATTAGAGAGTGCACTTTTTTTATAGGATAGGGTGACAAACGAGCATACAGTCTACCTGATGACAATTGGTAGCTGTAGCTCATAGACATCTACATCTATCCTCGTTTGCGAATCAAAATGCAGATGCGCTGTCACTCGTGAGGACTAAGATAGAATGCCTCTTTTCCAGTAAAAATGGTCTCCGGTTCTCTATATTCACCAAACGAAACACAGTAGTTTTAAGCTGATATTTTACGCTGGTATTATGTAAGAGCGTGGTCCTTCCCCGATCGAGCCGACCCATTCGTGCTACAACTATACTACTAATATAGCTGCAGCATGACTCTACTCCGTATAAAACTCGTGCACTATATAATATATTTCAATGAAGATGACTGCGGAACAATTTTCGTGACAATTAAAATCAACACAAACCAAACTAAAGACGTGTGGTGAGCGTAAAATAATAATCTTAAGCTCCTATAACCCTCTTAGTTAGCCAAAAGGGAGTTATAGGCCAAGGAAAAGTCCGTTGCCAGCCCAATGCTGAACGAAATTCACATGTCAAAATGTTGGTTTTTATTGCTGCTCAACCAGACGTCTTCCACCTTTGATACCTTAAGATTTATTGCAATCTTAAGGTATCAAAGGTGCAAGACGTCTGGTTCTGCAGTTGTCAATAAGCCAACAGAGGGTTGTTAACGAACTATTTAGAAGAATGAGGATTATGGAGTGGGACTCGAATTAGTCAATAAACTTATTTAAGACAAATGAAAAACTCACCTTTGCCGGCGTAATGCCTCGCACGGGCCACCTCCTCTCTATACTGATGAAGCTGTCGCTTCCACTCGTCCACGTTGGCGGTGCTCTCTTGCAGGGCGGCGGTCAGCCGAAGGTTATTACTCTTGAGGGTCGCGAGCTCCACCTCCCACTTCTTTGCGTTTGCAGAACTATGGGAAGACATATGGAATAATCATCATCAATTATCAATAGTGATATATTTTTACGTGGTAGAGCCACGCTGCATTTATAATATGGTTGTAGCGCGAATGGGCTCGACCGGGGAAGGACCACGCTCTCACAGGATACCAGCGTAAAACAGCAGCTTAATAAAATAGAATAGAATAATTTTTTATTCAATATATATATCACATATAATTTTTATGAAAATCATTTATTTTACATATTAGCGATCCGCCCTAGCTTCGCACGGTTGATTTTTGGATCTCAACAGCGCCACCTACCGGATGCAATTGTGAACCTAAACCATTCTCTAATCAACTTAATCACGTAATATATTATATTTAAACTAGGTAATAGTGAGACCTTGTACATATTTTCCGGGACTTTGTTATAAAAGAGTATACATTGCCCCTTGAAGGAATTACTGACTCTGTAGAGTCGAGTAACTGGTATCACTAGCTTGTGTTTGTTCCTAATGCTTACACAATGTATAAAACTTTTTTTTATTAAAACTACCTCTTCTTTTTTATAAAATTTGCGTAACTATATTTTTTATTTATTGTACATTAAAATACAGAAAACGAGAAGAGTACAATACAATACAATATACAGTTCAAGTACAACAGGCGTTCATATCACAAACGTGATTTTCCAGACAATCTTTGCGTATAGGACTGATGTAAACAAAGGTTAAAATAGAGGCTGTAACTTACAAATAAAGATGTAAATATATGTACATATTGTAAATAAACATATCAGACATGTGTCAATCGTGAAAAAATCGTTCATTTGACCAGGGTCGCATCAAAGTATTGATGATTGCAATTACATTTTTTAAACGTACCGAATCAAACGATTGACAGGACCCACAACCAAAGAGTATAGTTATGTCCGAAGACCGACATTATCGAGAGGCTGTCACAGATCACAGAGTACTGAAACTCGAAATGATCTATTTGAATGATAAGGTAGCAATACACGTTGGCCGAACGCGCTCGCCGAGTGCTTTCGGCCAACGTGTACTGGGCCGTTTTGTGTGTATTTGGCGTTTGCGGCCAACACTCGCCGACAAGCCGTATAGTGTCGGTTTTCCGTGCACAAATCAAAGAAATTTGGCGCAAGCCGCAAATAGCGATCACACGTTGGCCGAGTGTTCAGTTCATCGTTACGCTTTACGGCTTAATATAATTATTTCACGAACATGGCGACATGGCCTAATGAGGAAATATTTAGGTTCGTTGATTCTTATCACAATGAATCAGTTATATGGAACCCCAAACATGAGCAACATAAAAATAAGGCCGCGATCACTAACGTCCATCATCATCTAGCTACCAACGCAGAATTAAGCACGTCAACGTATGTACGGCCTATAGACCCAAATGACCCGGTTCGTAAAACGAATCAATAAGTGAATGATTGGGTCACTAGAAATGAATGAATGATACATCTCTAATAGATATGTCACAATGATATCGAATATGATATAGTAATGAAAATAGCAGGTACGACAAGGTAAAGTACTTTATCTAATAACGTTCTAAGCGCCTAAGTAATACGCACGACGGATGTGGAGAGTTGCAAAGTATGTTTATAATAATATAATTAGTGTCCGACCGAAACAGGGTTTTCAACCGAAACCAAAACCGAAAACGAACCTTCGGTCTGGGAGTCAGTTTCGGCCGAAACCGAAACCGAAACTTATTTATTAATTTTTATTGTATACTGAAATCTGGTATATTTTTTATACATATACAAAAAGTTAATGCATGTTAATGAAAAACAGTCATTGTAATTTTGTAATAGTAATGTAGTAATACGAGGGTGGATTGAAAAGTACTCGGCCTAACCAAGAAAATAAACAAATACTAAATCAGTTATATTTTTATTTTTCTACAGAATCACCATCAAGTTCAATACACTTTTGCCACCTCCCCTTCCAAGCATTTAGACCGTTGAAAAAAAATGATTCTTAATAGTAAGTAAGTCATAACAGTGGTAGAGACACGCGGCAGCTTTTGCTGTCGCACGAATGGGCCGGCTCGAACCGGGGTAGTACCACGGCCTCACAGAAAACCAGCGTGAAGTAGAGGTTTACCTCTGCGTTTCCCTTGGTGAGTGCAGGTGGCCGGAGGCCCTTTTTACTGGAAATGAGGCATTCCATCTTGGTCCTCACGGGTGACAACGCATCTACATTTTGATTTGTAACGGAGGATAGATGTAGATGTCTATGGGCCGCAGCAACCACTTACCATCAGGTGGACTGTGTGCTCGTTTGTCAGCCTTATCCTATAAAAAGAAAAAAGAAAAGCGTTTATGTTTATGTTTTTGATATGGTTAATTTCTTTCTAGACAAATCAAACTGCCGTTGAAACCGGCGGCTCAATTACGTAACCGACCGATGCGTTCCAAATACAATACGTGTTAGCGTAACCGAAATCAAGATATGTCTGCACCAATTGGCGGGCTTTTAATTACGACTAGACAGTACGTGCAAATTGTTACTTTTTGTTGAGAAAATTCACCTCATTTTTTTTTTGTAGAATATTTACATAATTTTGAATAGTATGTAAATAATATTATTCAATACTGGCTAGTAAGAGGCGCGTTGCAGCCGCAGAAGAAATAATTGTGGAAATGTCGTTTTAAATTTGGAACAGTTATATTGTTTTTTAGGAATGATACATTCGTTAAAAATGAATGATATATAACTTACAAATAAATGTGTCGGTACAATAAGTGCGTACTATAAGATTATTGTACTATACCTATAACCTTCTTGTAAGTGCAAGCAATAAGTTGGCAAAGTTTTACCGCAATCTGACAAACGGTATGGCAGCGAATTAAAATACGAACAAACAAAAATTTATTTTTATAATGATTTCTTATATTTACGCGAACACTACACATTTAAATAAAACTAATTTTACGGATTTTATCGCGTATATTAACTTATTTTATATTCCTGACGTTTCGAGCACTTTCCAGCACCCATGGTCACGGGGGGCTGAGGTGTATGACGTCTCAATGTCATAGTTAACCTCGGCTACCTCCAGATTAAATATAAAATAAGTTAATATACGCGATAAAATCCGTAAAATTAGTTTTATTTAAATTTATTTTTTTATATTAGATTATCCATCTGGCTGACAGTTCCCGGTGTACTGGCAGTGTTAGTGAATGTAATGGCCCGTATTATCCCGTTGACGTCTTAAGAGACGACACAGGGAAATGAAACAGAACTTTTTCAGCAGCATCTTCCCGATAACACCTCAAAGTATCTAATAAAAATGCATCTCGTTTGCCAAGCGTTGCATATATCCATATCATCTAATGAGGCAATTTATGGGGGAGTTTTTATTCAGCAGTAGACTTTAAGGAGAGATAGGCTGTATTGAATTGTGAAATTTTAGAATGTAGTCTCTCATTGTTAACAAATGGTAAAATTAAAAATTTCAATAGAAAAGGATAACTCAAAAACTACTGGTCAGACCTTAGAGACACTCCTAAGGAGATGGAATGCTTCCCCTTTTTTAATTATCTAGTTGCCGCTTACCATCACGTGTTTTACTAGGTGTCAAGATTCCCTTTATGCCGAGGATTCCCCCTAAATAGGTACGATCACATCACCCTTTTACTTATATCTGCTGCCAAAGTGCATGCACTGCTATTTCAGACCTGAAGGGTGTAGAGAATAAGTACAGAGACAGGCTGTGACGCATTCCACCTTAGTCCTCAGAGATGACAACGCACCTTCATTATACGCGGTAGAGCTATGCTGCAGCTATATTAATAGTATATAGTTGTAGCACGAAGGGGTCAGCTCGACTGGGGAAGGACCACGCTCTCACAGAATACCAGCTTGAAATAGCAGCTTAATGCTGCTGTGTTTCGTATGGTGAGTGTAGAGAACCGGAGACCCTTTTTACTGGAAAAGAGGCATTCCATCTTAGTCCTCACGGCTGACAACGCATCTGCATTTTAATTCGCAAACGAAAATAGATGTAGAAGTCTATGAGTCACAGCAACAACTTACCATCAGGTGGAATGTGTGCTCGATTGTCACCCTTATCCCATATTTAAAAAAAAAAAACTATAAACACATGCCGCACAGTCTACACTAAACTGTTTAGTTTCATCGGTATATTAAGATCAAGATAAAATATTTTGATTAGGTAACTACGAGTATACAGTGCGAAACTGTAACATAATTACATTGCTCAACCGTCCGAGTTATGATCAATCGCTGCTTTTCCGGATTTCAATAACAGGCGTGAAGATCTTAATGATTTCCCGAAGCGGCCACTCTGTATTCTACGTTTTGTTGCGTAAAAATAAATGTGATATACGAAGACAATTGCGTCTGGTAACAAAAACATGTTTTTGTGTATGGTTAGAAAAAAAAACTGAGTTAAAGTTGGCAAAAAAATGTATTTACACGTGATAGAGCCACGTAGCAAATAGATTATGACTGCAAATGAAATGGCAGAATATTGCCGCTGTGTTTGGTATAGTGAGTGTAGAGAACCGGAGAACCCATTATACTGGGCATTTCATCTCAGTCCTCAGGGGTAATCGATGATAGATGTAGTTGTAACAGACCACGGCATCCACTTATTATCTGGGGAACTGTGTACTCGTTTGTCGCCCTAAAAGAAGCTTTAAACGCTGTAGGTGGCGTGCTAAAACCATAATTAGTGGTACCGAACTTTTTGAAAATAATTTCATACGTGGTAGAGCCATGCTGCAGCTATATTAGTAATATAGTTGTAGCACGAATGGATCGGTTCGACCGGGAGGAGAACGCTCTCACAGAATACCAACGTAAAGTAGCAGCTTAATGCTGCTGTGTTGCGTATGGTGAGTGTAGAGAACCGGAGACCCTTTTTATTGGACGAGAGGCATTCCATCTTAGTCCATACGGATGACAACGCATCTGCATTTTGATCCTTTATTGAAAGATAGATGTGGATGTCTACGGGTCACA